AGAGAGAAGAAAATTCTGAGCTGTAAGCTTTAACTATCCTTTTAGATGTGTTGTAATAATTTCCCTTATGCAGAGTGAATTAACTGGATAAATATCAGCTAATACTGATAGTTTAATGTTTCTTATAGTTATACCTCAATGTAATAGCATGGAAATGAATTATCTATCCACTGTTTGGTTGCAGATGAGTGGTGGAAATCTGTTGTTCAAAAGAGTTGGGGGAGARGTTTCTTATATCTTTTTGCCAACCATTTATTTTGGGGTCCTGAGCCAAATTTTCAGTATCGACAGTTTATTTACTCTTGTTTTCCAATCATGTAATACAATTAATGACTCATGTTGTGAGGGCAAGTCATCAGAGGACTGCAGTGAGATTAACTACATCTCACCTCCTTCAATCTTACCACGAAGTATTGATCCCTGCAGTTRGCATTATGTGCAGTGCCTCTACTATATATGAAACACATTAACCRGCACAACTCGAGTTTAATATGTGTGCAACACTATAAAAACTCCTTGATTTCATACTTAAAACCTTTGAGTTATTTTGGATATGGTGATGCATTTCCACRTTTTTTGCTGTTATAGGCTTGTAGAGTTGTAAAGTGGCATGTTATATGACTGACCACCTGCTGTGTTCCTTGATGGAGTCTGGTCCTTGGCAGTATTGCCCATGTGAAGTCATCCAATGAATTTTTAGTTTAAGTTAATATTGTTTAAACTGAATAACCTTTTTGGGAGCAGGTGAGGGTAGTTATTGTTTGGAGTARAGGTTAGAGATTACAAAAAAGCATTAAGGCTTTTTAGGTGCCGCTCCCTCCATTCAAGATTCTGTAGGTTTTCATTTGGCTTTTTTTTTTCCCATGATAGCTGCTTCCACCTGCAACAAAAGTTGTGTTGTAAGCTGAATATTTTAAGATACTTAAAAGTATTTGGTGAGGTCAGTTGCTAGACAAGACACTCAGAATCTTCTTCTTGGCATGTAATTTAAAACAAAAAGTGAACTTGTTTAAATTATTTGCCAGTTTAAAGTCCACACATGCTGAGTGAGTGGCATGGGATCTCAAGCAGATAACTTATTTTTCTAGGGCTTTTTTGTTCACCTGTGACAAAACTGAATTGCAATACCAAGCAATAGTAATCCAAGAAATAGGAAGAAGTAAAGCTAGATTTTTTTTAATGTGATGTAAACCATTAGTGAAGTTGAGGGACCATGTCAGCTGCTTCTACTACTCAAATAAATTTCCATTTGCTGGCATTTGAAGAGGTGATTACTGTCATCTAGGACCCTCAAAAAGTACAGCAACAGTTGATAAAAATCTTCCACTAACATGTATGTGTAGGTAAACCTGTGTTTGAAATTAACTTCATTTTGTTTATTTTTTTTTTCCTTTTGAGGTGGAAAAATAGACAGATGGCCAGAAAGAATATAGCAAAAGGAAAAATGCTGAGATTTTTTGACACTAGCTTTATTGTTGCTTGTGCTTTTGTGTCAGTAATGCATATTGACCGTGTGTGCTGTCCTTTATCAGTAAAAGGGTAAGCCTGTGCCTTCATTATCAAATACACTATGAAATAAGTGGATGCTGGATATAGATCCCACAAAATGCAGCTTTCGAAATTTCTATATCTTAACACCTGAGTTTCTGGAATCATTAAAAAAACATGGCCYACATCACTTCTGCAGCATTGGTTGCTAAGTTTCTTTTTTAGCTTTCACCAGCCTGTTTTTTCTCATCTCGAAAAAAAACCAAAACAAACAAACAAAAAAAACAAACACCCAACCAAAATTAAAAGAAGCTTTTGTTGGAAAATCAGTGAGTTTACAAAGTTCTCAGATGACTCAAAGGCCTCGTTTCCTTGCTGCATGTTTAGGACAATCCGTACAGTTAATAGAGTACAAATCCAAGTTGCCGATGAAACATGCAGGACGCATGAACAGCTGTGTGCTTCCTTGTCCAGTAGTATTGGTGCCAGAAGGGGAAACAGGCTGCAGGACAGGGAGAGGTGGGAGCAGTCCTTCACAGGCTTTTCTGGAGCAGATGGGCAGGACAGACTAGTTGGCTGTCAATGGTGGCATTGTAWCAGCATGCACTTTATTGTTGTTTTATGAAGAATACTTGTGGTTATAAAAGTATGTAACACAGGGGCACTCTTCTAGAATAATAGATTAGATCAGAAGGAAAAGCAGTTGGAGGAGTTTCTCAAGACTTTTTGTAAATTACCCATTTTCTGGTTTCGAGATWGGTAAATAGATTGATTTTTCTCCAGTACAAGTCTCATGTATTTTTTTCCAGAAAGAAAAACACAACCAAAACTTGAACAAGTAAATAATTAAAGTTAGGGACATAGTTGCTTATCTGAGTGTCTTTAGAATTTTTTTTTTTTTTTTTTGCTGCCATGATACATTCAAGCCCCTAAATACTGTGCAATGGGAAGGATGTAATTCTGTAACATTTAATATTCTTATTCTTCCTCAGGTAGTGAAAAGATGTCTAATTTTCTGCAGGAAACTATCTCTTCCCTCCCACACATGTAAGAAACACTTTGCTTGGACACAATACATTCCACTACCTGCAGTTTGCCAGCAAAACACAAAATGTTTCTCTCATTTGGGGATCCCTTCCACATGGCTTTCAGTTAGAAATCCCTTGAGAAAACTTTGTTTTGCTGTATTCTAGCAACAGCCACGAAATAGCAGTTCCTTAAAAATTCCCGTCACAATGGTCCACAGCGTCTTTCCTACCAAGCACTGTCATCACCTTTCCATCCTTCTGAGTGYATGGGCAGGAAGACAGGCAAGCGGCTATGAGTAGTACATAGCTTTGAAACATGCAGTTTTTCCACGGAAAGCCTGCTTGCGTGTGATTTCCRGTGAAAAGGCACACGGGCAATGCAGAGGGCACAGCGTGTGATCCTGCCCTGGCATCAGTGCTGCTTGTGCTGTGTGGTGCGCTCCTACCTGGCAGTAAAGGGCTCACCCTCCTGTGCCTTGCAGTGGCTCTTCACGCATCCCGATGGAAGAAAACGACGTATGTCAAGGCAGGGTCTCAGGGATGCAGGTCACTCCTTTGTACTTGGAAGATTTCCCCTTGTGTCAGTGCGTGTGAGTGACAGGATCACCATCTGATTGGTGGCCTTGTGTGTGTCAAACCTMGTGCAAAACCACCCGTTTCCAGCACACAGGGTTTCCGTGTGTAYGTACCACACACCTACTGACCATTCTTCTGTTTGTTAGTGGAAAAAAAATACTATTCTATGCAGAGGAGGTTAAATAATTGTAACCCAAAGTAACAGGATCTGAAGAGATACTCGTTCTACTTGTTCTGTGTTTGTTCTGCACTTTTTCCAGGCTGTCCCAGCCTTCTGAACAAAGTCCCTGTGGTCTCCACGTCTGTTCTCAGCACATGAGTGGCGTCACAGTCTGTGAGTAACCCCACCCGGGCAACCAGAAACTGGAGAATTACAAAATGTCCGTATTTAAGTATTCTGCAGCACTTTACCTGCCCGATCACTGTTTTGTAAACATGGAACTATTATATTGATTGTTTTAATAAATGTGTTAGTTTTTATCTTTCATCATCTCCTTGTGTCTTTTCTCCCAGAAATGGGGAAGACCCTATCCCAGCAAATGGAGTGACCTTATCACTCTCTACAATGACCAGAAAGGAGGTTGTAGCCAGGACAGGATCGTGAGGACAGTCTTAAGCTGTGACAGGGGAGGTTTAGGTTCGGCATTGGGAAGAATTCCTTCACAGGAGGGGTGGCTAGATGCTGGAATGGGCTGCCTAGGAAGGTGATAGAATCACTGTCCCTGGAGGTGTTCCAGGAAAGACGGGATGTGGCACTGGGTGCCACGGTCTAGTTGGCATGATGGTGTTCGGTCATAGGTTGGACTCGATCATCTAAGACATCTTTAACGACCTAATTGATTCTGTGGAAACAAACAGATAAACAAGAAGCCCCAAAGCCAACCAACCGAACACGCAATCCCCGCCCCGATCCCTTGGGCGCCGTTCCCGCCGCAGCCGTGTCCGTTCCCGGCGCCGCCCGTGCCGCGCGCCCTCCGGCCGCCAGGGGGCAGGCGCGCTCCCGCCGACACCGCGCGCCCGCTTCCGCGCGCCCCGCCCCGGGCCCG